GTTATGCACAATCTACAGTTTGATAAAAAAGAATCCTCTGCTGTGTGTTTTGTTTGCCGGAGAGTTGGACGCTGTCTCAGGCCAGACCGAAGCCCTCGGAACATTCCTGGATCGCCAGCAATAACATGTGCCGCAGTTTCTCATAGCTCTCGTACGCTGGCAAGTCCAGCTGATTAAAGCTGTGGGCAGAGAGGACAACAAGCACTGTAACAGCAGACAGACAGACCGAGTCAGACACATAACCCCCCCACCCCCACACACACACACACAGAGGGACACACACACACACACACACACACAGCCAAACAGACAGACACACACACACACACACACAGGGACAGACAGACACACACACACACACACACACAGAGGACAGACAGACACACACACAGAGGGACAGACAGACACACACACAGAGGGGCAGACAGACACACACACACAGACAAACAGACAGACACACACACACACACACAGGGACAGACAGACAGACAGACAGACACACACACACGGGGGCAGACAGACAGACACACACACACACACAGACAAACAGACAGACACACACACACACACACACACAGGGACAGACAGACACAAACACACACACAAACAGAGGGACAGACACACACACACACACACACAGCAGAGGGACAGACACACACACAGACAGAGAGACAGACACACACACACACACACACACAGGGACAGACAGACACAAACACACACACAAACAGAAAGACAGACACACACACAGACAGAGAGACAAGTTGTGAGGCAGGAAACAGAGAGTAGGGATAAAGGGAATGTCCTCCGATCGGTGGGACGTGACAAGTGGTGTTCCCCAGGGGTCTGTACCGGGACCCCAGCTGTTCATCACATAATAACATATAATGTATATAAGTAACTTGGACGAAGGAATAGAAAGTTTTCTGCCCAAGTTTGCGGCCGAGACTAAGCTCAGAGGCTCAGTGAGTTGTGCAGATGGGAGCAGGAAGTCACAAGGGAACGTAAGAGAGATTAAGTGAGTGGACAGAGCTGCGGCAGATGGGGTTCAATGTAGGGAAGTGCGCGGTCATCCACTGTGGACCGAGAAAAGATAAAGCAGAATATTTTCTTCACGGCGAGAAATGAAGAGCTGTGGAGGAGCGGAGATTTGGGCTGAATGGCCTCTCCTCCTGTTCCTATCACACACACTCACACAGACACACACACCACGGACAGACAGAGAGACAGACACACACACACACAGACACTCACCAGGTGTGGGCGGAGGGCAGTCTGTCTGTAGACCTGTCGTCGCGGTGAATCTGGAATTTCTGGATGCCGTTCATTCCCTCGAGGGCAGCAAAACCCTGCAGCGGCACCTTGGAGGTTCCCGTCACAAACTGCAGGAACTTGGCTCTGTCGGCCTGGTCAAAGGACCTCAGCGCTCGCCAGAACCACTGGATCTGAGAGGGAAATGGGGGGAGAGAGAGGTGGGGCAAGAAAGGAGGGGTAAAGGTGGGGTGGGAAAGAGGGGAGGGGGAGAGAGAAGAGAGAGAGAGAAAAGGGGGAGAGTCGGGGGGGGGGGAAGGGGAGAGAGAGAGAGAGATGAGTGTAATAATAATAATAATAATCCCGGCGTTTGACCCATCACCTGATCACGTCTTCGAGACGTCTCAAAGCACTTCACGGGACACACGGTAAAGTGTAGTGACTGTGTGTTTTGTGGGTGAAATGCGGCAGCCAATTGTGCACAGACACAATGGGCCCCTCTCCCCCTTCTTCCCCCTCAATTCCTGTTAGTATGGAGGTGGCTCCTGGATGGAGGTATCTCCTGTATGGAGGTGTATGGAGGTGTCTCCTGAATGGAGGTGTCTCCAGGATGGAGGTGTCTCCAGGATGGAGGTGTCTCCAGGATGGAGGTGTCTCCTGCATGGAGGTGTCTCCTGGATGGAGGTGTATGGAGGTGTCTCCAGGATGGAGGTGTCTCCAGGATGGAGGTGTTTCCAGGATGGAGGTGTCTCCTGGATGGAGGTGTCTCCAGGATGGAGGTGTCTCCAGGATGGAGGTGTCTCCAGGATGGAGGTGTCTCCTGGATGGAGGTGTCTCCTGGATGGAGGTGTCTCCTGGATGGAGGTGTCTCCTGTTAGTTACCTGTATGGAGTTGACCTGATATTTGTGATATTCCGTGTTGCCTTTCAGATCGTCAATGTCGATGGTGGGCAGCCCCGAGATCAGCAGCTCCAGCTCCTGCTCCGTGAAGATCGAGATCAGTCGCTTGGGAATAATCTCGTAGAATCCCTCGAGGAACGCTGCCAGCTGTTTCCTGATGGCTCCTGTCCCCCCACCGCCCAAAATACACATATCAATACACGTCTCTGTCCCAACTCCCCAGGTCCACCATCCACCCCAATTCCTCAACTCTCTCTCCCTCCCCCTCTCCCGCTCACTCCATCCCGACTCCCCCAAGTCTCTATCCCCAGTGCTGGACAGACAAAAGGCTCTCTCTTTCCCTCTCTCTCTCTCGGTGTTAACCCCTTCAGGACCACTTACCCGTCATCTTCATCTGACAAACCAGATGGACGTATTCCTTTTTGTTGTCTTCGTTGACGATTATGTGGGTTCCGTTTGCTTTCAACTCCCGCACCTCGCACACCCCAAACTCCTGAACCTACAACAACAACAACAACACTCCCCATTATAGGCTGTTACAGCGGCTCTCAACGACGGCAACAACAATAATAATCCACGTATTTGACCCGGCGCCTCATCACGTCCTTCAAGCGTCACAGAATATACAGTAAAGTGTAGCGACTGTGTATTTTGCGGGCGAAACATGGCAGCCGAGTGAGCACAGCGACGTCCCACAAACTCACTTGGAGAGATTATTACCCCCAGAAAGCGATCCACCAATCGACTAACAACCAGGGTCCTACTCACTGCTGGTAAACAGGCGTGTGCGTGTGTGTGTGTGTGTGGGGGGGGGGGCTGTCACTGTTAGTTACCTGTATAGAGATGTCCCTAATTAAATACAGTAAACATCAAACTAACCTCTGTGCTGAACGTGAGCTCAGAGCCCAGTGTGACCACACCATTCTCCAACAAGTAAACCAGCCCCTGATAAAAGTGGTAATCCTCACTCTCCATGTCCGTGTATCTACAGAGAGAGAGAGAGAGAGAGAGTGAGTGAGAGAGAGACAGAGAGTGGTAATCCTCACTCTCCATGTCTGTGAGGGGGAGAGAGAGAGAGACAAAGACACACAGTGAGGGCTCTGGGCTGGGCTGTGTGAGTAAATGAGTGAGTGTGTGAGTGTGAGAGGGAGTGAGTGAATGAGAGTGAGAGCGAGCGGGCGGGCGGGCAGGCGAGCGAGTGAGTGAATGAGCGAGCGTGAGTGTGTGACAAGAGTGAGTGAGAGAGTGAGTGAGAGTGAGAGGGAGGGAGGGAGAGACAGAGAGAGAGAGAGAGAGAGAGACCAGGTTTACCTGACGGACTTGCCCAGGATGTGCTTGTAGAAGGAGCGGGTGAAGTAACAGTCGAGGAGACGGTTGTCGTACACGGCTTTGGCTACGATACGACCCACAAACTTGAAGTAGCTGAGGTGGTTGGGGTTGCAGTGAGAACAGGGGTTGATGGTGTATGTGACCCGGTCCCCAGGGGAAGTGCGGAACAGGGCGTACATAGGGTTAAACATCTCCCGAGAGATGATCATGTACCACTCCCTGAGCAAACCTCCAGCGTCCTGACCTTCCTCCCCCTCAAACACTATGTACCTGTGGGGCACGGAGACACGATCAGTAAACTCTGCTCCTCCGCTCACAGCCACACGGGAATATTCCTTGTGTTTAACCGGATGTTTTTACGGGCGGATTGGAGAGAAAAGAGAAGGAGGAGAGAGAGAGAGAGAGAGAGAGAGAGGCGGACGGAGTGAGAGAAGAGAAGAGGGAGCGGGAGAGAGAAAGAGAGAGAGAGGAGAGGAGAGCGAGGGATAGAGAGATAGTGAGAGGAGAAGAGGGATAGAGAGATAGTGAGAGGAGAGGAGAGAGAGATAGAGAGATAGTAAGAGGAGAGAGAGGGAGGGGGGGATAGAGAGCGAGGGAGAGGAGAGGAGAGAGAGGGGGATAGAGAGATAGTGAGAGGAGAGGGGAGAGAGAGGGATAGAGAGATAATGAGAGGAGAGGGGAGAGAGAGGGATAGAGAGATAGTAAGAGGAGAGGAGAGAGAGGGGGGGGGCTAGAGAGCGAGGGAGAGGAGAGGAATAATAATAATAATAATAATAATAATCCTTGCATTTGATATAGCGCTTTTCACGTCGGGAGGACGTCCCAAAGCGCTTCACAGAATAGACTGTAAAGTGAATTGACTGTATATTTGTGGGAGAGGGAGGCAGCTTGAGAGAGCGAGAGAGAGGGGGGAGAGGGAGGGAGTGTGAGGGAGAGAGATGGGGTGAGGGGGTGAGAAGAGCGAGAGCGAGGGGAGGGGAGGGGGAGGGGGAGGGAGTGTGAGGGAGTGAGAGAGGGGAGAGAAGGGAAGGAGACACACAGAGAGAGGGGGGGGGGGGGAGGTTACCTTGGCGAGCTGGATGAGGGTGTCTAACACGTGTCTACAGACCACGGGAGCTGCCTGGGGGTGGATGTGGACGGTGGAGCCACAGCCGGGATGCTTCTCCGAATGCTTCCGCCCTCCCGACCGCTGTATCTGGAAGATGTTGGTGCGACAGCCCAGAGCAGCGTCCATGGACACGGAGAGCCACGACAGCTGGCTGGTGGCTTTGGCCTCCACCTTGTGGAGCAGGTCCAGGGTTTTCTGTTCGTGTAGAGCTAGGGCTCCGGTGCCAGGGGGAGGAGGGGGCGGGGGAGAAGCCAGGCAGCTCTTGACCTTCTTGCCCTTCTCCTCCAGGTGTTTGGGGATCTCGATGCACAGCTCGCTCTCGCTGCTCCGCTGCAGGATGGACAGCAAGCTCTTGATGACCCAGTTGCGGGTCTGGGTGTGATAGCAGAGGTTCCTCAGCACACGGTGAAGGCGGCTGGTGTTCAGCTTCGGCTCGTCCACAAACAGCAGCACCAGCAGACAGGACAGGGCCTCGTGGTCCAACAGCAAGCGTCCGCGGAGGCGCAGGAGGCTGTCCACGTTACTGCTGCTCGAGGCTCTGAGGAGGAACATCTCAAGGTTACACCTCGATCCACACCCCGACTCCCCCCAAGTCTCTACCCATCTCCCTCTTGCCCTGAGGCAAGCTGACACATACTGTGGCTGTGGCTGTGGTGCCTGTGATGTTGTGGCTGTGGCTGTGGTGCCTGTGATGTTGTGGCTGTGGCTGTGGTGCCTGTGATGTTGTGGCTGTGGCTGTGGTGCCTGTGATGTTGTGGCTGTGGCGCCTGTGATGTTGTGGCTGTGGCTGTGGTGCCTGTGATGTTGTGGCTGTGGCTCCTGTGATGTTGTGGCTGTGGCTGTGGTGCCTGTGATGTTGTGGCTGTGGTGCCTGTGATGTTGTGGCTGTGGCTGTGGTGCCTGTGATGTTGTGGCTGTGGTTACGGTACCTGTTATGGCTGCCGCTGCCCCACTGAAAGGCCCCACTTCGCTGCACCGCGAGGCGTGTGTACTGCACTCCTCGGTTTCCTCCCAGCCGTCCAGTGAAACCTGGTTATAAACAAAGTACACGTCAGTGACACGTTACACACCCTCACACACATACACCCCTGCACACACACACACACACAGGTGCATATCAGTGACATGTTACACACACTCACACACACGCACAAACACACTCTCACACACACCCTAATATATACAAACACAGGTACACGCCAGTGACATGTTACGCACCCTCACACACATACACCCATGTGTGCGCGCACGCACACACACACAATATATACACACACAGGTACATATTAGTGAGATGTTGCACACACTCCCCTTCACACACATACACACCCTCACACACCACGACACTCTCACAGACACACAACACACACCATTACACACACACGACACACAAGGGGAGGGAGTGGACAGGTGACTGCAGTGCTCACAGAGCGGAGTTAACTCCTCGTTACCTGTGCTGCGGAGGATGGCAGAGAGGGCAGAGGAGCTGCTGTGACTGAACAGCCTCTCGTGCATGAGCTGCCGCTGCCTGGCCTCCTGCTCTCTCCTCAGGGCCTGGGCCTCGGCAGCAATGTCCGGGGGCATCACAGCCAGGACACTGTCCTCCATGTCCTCCAGCACACTGCGCCTCAGGTCAGAGGGCAAGGTCTGGATAAAAGTCACCGGGTCCATCGGGGTGTCAGGGTTCGCTGTGTGCGCCAGCTCTCGCCGCTGCTGCTCTACTCTCTGCTGGGCAAGGACCTGGGGATAGCACCATTAACATCAACACTAACATCATCATCAACATGATGCGTGTGTGTGTGAGAGGGTGTGTGTGTATGTGAGGGTGTGTGTGGGTGATGATGTGTGAGGGTGTATGTGTGAGAGTGTGTGTGTGTGAGGGTGTGTTAGGGAGGTACGTACCTCCTCCTGGATGGCGGGGGGCAGGGCGGCCAGGAACTCAGGGCTGACCTCGCTGACGGGCTGGGTACCCACCAGAGAAGCAGCAGCAGCAGCAGCGACAGCAGTGGCTACAGTCGCTGCCGTCGCTCTCTCTCTCTCCCGGTCTCGCTCTCTCTCCCGCTCCCTCTCGCGCACTCGGTTCGGAGGCCGGATTCCCAGCTGGTTCTGTAGCACTTCCCTCCGGATATCCTCAGGCAGCGCTGCCAGGAAAGAGGGGTCCACTCCCTCGGGCAGACTGATCCCTGCCGGGAAAACACACACAGGTACAGAGGCTACAACACACACAGGAACAGACAACACATACACACACACACACACACAGGTACAGAGGCTACAACACACACAGGAACAGACAACACATACACACACACACAGGTACAGAGGCTACAACACACACAGACAGGTACAGAGAGAGAGAGAGACACAAACACACAGGAACAGAGACACACAGAAGGAAAGAGACACAGAATCACACACACAGACAGAGAGACAGAGCGAGAGACAGTCTCGGCGCACACACACACACACACACACAAGGCTCCAGGGATCCCACGTACCAGCCAGAGGGTCCTCATCGCTGTTGCTGGTGGAGGGCAGGATGTCGGAGGGGGTGACTGAGCCGGTGCCAGGGGAGGGGTCTCTGGTGCTTGAAGTGTCAGATGGCACAGAAGCTGCGATGCTGTGGGACAAATACACACAGACACGGGGTTAGAACAGCCTCTCACACGCACACACACCACACTCTCTCACACACTCACACTCTCTAACACACACACTCACTCACACACTCTCTCTCACACACACACACACACACGTACACAGATACGGGGTTAGTAACAGCCTCACACACTCACACGGACACGGGGTTAGGACTCCCTGATGGACATCAAGTCCTGGCTGAGGGCAAACTTCCTTCAGTTGAATGTGAGCCAAACTGAGGCCCTCCTGACTGTCTCGCGCCAGCTTCTCCGCACCTCAGGCTCCGGCGGCACCAACCTCCATGGTTGCAACTCACCAGCCAGTCAGGAACCTGGGGGTCTTGTTCGACCCTCAACTGTCTTTTCTTCCCCATATTCAAGCCATGACCCGCTCTGGTGGCCACGGCCTCGCCCCACCCTACCTCTGCCGCCTCCTAACCCCCTACCAACCCGCCCGCTCCCTCCGCTCAGCCGGCTCTGGCTGCTCCACGTCCCCCGACCCCCCACACCCGCCCCACCATTGGCGGGAGAGCCTTCAGCCACTCTGCCCCCAACCTCTGGAACTCCATCCCCCAGTCACTTCGCCTCCTCACTCCTCAGCCTCCTTCCAAGCCCCGCCTCAAGACCTTCCTCTTCAACCATGTCATCGGCCACCCCACTTCCCCTCCCCTCCCCACCCCCTACTCCAGCTCGGCCCCCCAGACCCCCTCCCCCCTCCACCACCCCCCTCTGAGCTGCCCACCTGTGCTCCTCGCTGGGGGTGGCTTCTGTTTGACCCTCGGCCGTGCTGGTCGCGTCCGAGGTCTCATCGGGGTCCTCAGCGCTGACCCCGGCCGGGCCCCCGGCTCCGCCCACACTCCCCACGAGCCCCTCCTCCAACAGCCCAGAGGCGGGGCTACTCGTGTCCATCGGGGACCCCTCCAGCTGGGCACCACCCCTCGTCAACAACTCCGAGCCCTCTACCCGCTCCGGTGACTGGGAGGCTGTGAGGTGGGGGGGGGGGGGCGGGGGAGAGAGGGGAGGGGGGCAAGAGACAAGGGAGAGGGAGAAACGAGAAGTAAATATGTAAACAGCAGTAATTAAAGATTGTGCTTTCGTTGCACACGTTATCAGCTGCCGTCCACAACTGGCCACCGTGTTTGACCACAAAATAGTGTTTCTGTGTCTGTTTGTCTGTGTCTGTCTGTGTGTGTGATCCTGATCCTCGACTTCCAGCGCCTTGGGACGTCCTCCCAACATGAAAGGCACTTTACAAATGTAATGTTGTTGTTGTAAAGGTTTCGCCCTGTCCTGACCCGCCCGGCCGGGAATCGAACCCGGGTCCTCTGGCTTGCGAGGCGAGGGGTCTAACCCCTGAGCTACAGGGACTGTGGGGTGGGAGGGGAGGGGTCTAACCCCTGAGCTACAGGGACTGTGGGGTGAGAGGCGAATGCAGTAACCACTACACTACAGGCTGTGGGAGATGTCAGGTGCCTGGGGTTGGTTTGGGGCTGGGTGGGTGGGCGCTGAGAAGCTGTACCTACCTGTGGTGGGGGCTGGAGACATCTCCATCTGGAGGGTGTCCAGCTCAGGGCTGGGGCTGGGGCTGGGGTGGTCCTGTCCAGCCTCCCTCTCTGCTGGTATTAGCTGGGGCCCCTGGCTCTGTTCGCTGGGGGTGAGCTGGAGCTGGGAGGGTGGGGGGCCGGGCTGGAGGGCTGACAGCGGTTGTTGGGGGGTCTCCAGCGAACCGAGGGGCTGAGGGTCAGAGCCGATGGGACCTTCAGTACAGGGAGGGGCTGTGGGGAAGCTCTCCAACTGGGGGGGCTCCAGCCCGCTGGCTCCTATCACAGGGGGATCCGAGTCTGTAATATAATAAAATAATATCATTTAATAATAATAATCCTGGCATTCGACATGTCTCAAAGCGCTTCACAGGATACACTGTAAAGTGTAGTGACTGTGTTTTGTGGGCGAAACGCAGCAGCCGATGGCGCCCGGCGACGTCCCCACAAACAGCCGTGGGGTTGAAGTGACCAAATTATTATTATTTTTAAAGGGATTATTACCCCCGGAAAGTGATCCCCCAATCGACTGACAAGCGATTCCTACTGACTGCCGGGGACACAGGCGCGTGGGGGGGTGTGTGGGTGTGTGTGTGTCTGTGTGTGTGTCTCTGTGTGTGTGTCTGTGTGTGTGTGTGTCTGTGTGTATCTGTGTGTGTGTGTGTCTGTGTGTGTGTGTGTCTCTGTGTGTATCTGTGTGGGTGTGTATCTGTGTGTGTGTCTGTGTGTCTCTGTGTGTGTGTCTGTGTGTCTCTGTGTGTCTGTCTGTGTGTCTGTGTGTCTCTGTGTGTGTATCTGTGTATATCTGTGTCTGTGTGTGTGTCTGTGTGTGTCTGTGTGTGTGTTTGTCTGTGTGTCTGTGTGTATCTGTCTGTGTGTGTGTGTGTGTGTGTGTGTGTGTCTGTGTGTGTATGTGTGCGTGTGTGCAGTAAGGAAGCTTGTCTAAGGGTCCTCTGGCTTGCGAGGCGAGAGGTCTAACCCCTGAGCTACAGGGTCTCCTTGTTTGTTGGGTCAGGGTATCAAGGGATACGGGGCAAAGGCGGGTAATTGGGCTTAAGGTGCAGACCAGCCGTAGTCTTATAAGAATGGTGGGACAGGCTGGAGGGGCTGATTGGCCTCCTCCTGTTCCTATGTTACTCGGTTCTCACCTGATATCTGCCCGTGTGATCTCATGGCCTCCAGAGCTGCCTCTGCGATGGACGCTGCCATGTTACTGATGGCCTCGTTAGTGGCTGACAGTGCGCTGGAGGTGATACCTGCCGGGGAGAGAGAGCGAGAGAGCGGGAGAGAGAGAGAGAGAGGGGATTAGACAGAGAGGTGGGGGGGAGAAGAGAGAAGGAGAGGGTCGGAGTGAGAGAGGAGAGGGGTGGGAGAGAGAGAGAGAGATCAGAACCAGCTCTGGACAGAATGGGTTTAAAACAAAACCCAACAACCCTCATAAACCTTGTGTCTTGTTTTGCGCCATCATCGACGTCCCCACAAACAACACGACTCCCCCCGGGGGAGATCTTTGAGGTCCACCCTGAACAGGGCACAGACGGGGGAGTGAGTGAATGAGGTTTATTTTAATGTCTCATCCGAAGGACAGCGTCCCCGACGGTAATAACAACCCTTATATTTGACCCAGTGCCTTGTCACGTCGTCGCGACGTCTCAAAGCTGCTCACAGGATCCACTGATTGTCAAGTGTAGTGACTGTGGGTTTCATGGGCAAAACATGGAACAGCCAAACAGTCGTGGATTGAGTGACCAAATTACTATTTTTTCAAGGGATTATTACCCCCGGAAAGTGAGCCCCCAATTGACCAATAAGTGGGTTCCTACTGACTGCCGGTGAACAGAGACGTGCGTGAGTTTGTGTGTGTGTGTGTGTGTGTGAGTGTGTGTGTGTGCGTGTGTGTGGAGTAAGGAAACTTGCCTAAGGTTTTGCCCTGACCCACCTGTCCGGGAATCAAACCTATGTTTTCTCTCTCTCTCTCTCTCCCCCCAGCGCTCTCTCTCTCTCTCCCCCCCAGCGCTCTCTCTCTCTCTCCCCCAGTGCTCTCTCTCTCTCTCTCTCTCTCTCCCCCAGCGCTCTCTCTCTCTCTCTCCCTCCCCAGCGCTGCACTAGAGGGTCAGGCTTGCTACGCAAGCTGGCTGTTGCGGTGCCTGTTGCCGTTGCCTGCCCAGCGAGGAAGGCAGTAGGTTGTACAGTTATCTCCAAACAGGGCAAAAACAAACACCTCGCGGCCCCACAACTACACAACCTACTACCTCAGCCCGCGAGCCAGAGACAGCCACTCACTCCTCACTCCGCAGGGCCGGGCCGGGCTTTGCTTCCAATCCACTGGGCGCATAATCCGGTCTGAGTGTTTCCACGTACTCAAAGCAGATTACAAGTGGTTTAACGTGGGGGGGGTGGGGGGGGCAAAGGGGTCCGGAGTATGTGTGTGTGTGTGTGTGTGTGTGGGGGGTGGGGGGCGTGGGGGGGAGAGAGCGAGAGAGAGAGAGAGAGAGAGAGAGAGAGGGGGGGAGGAAGAGAGAGAGCAGGGAATGGGGTTAGAGGAGACTGCGCCAGTGTGGGGGAATGGGGTTGGAGTAGAGAGAATCAGTGTGTGGGGGGGCGAGCTGCTGGCACGATGGGGGGTGAGACGAAGGGAACGGGGTTAGAGGAGAGAACTCTTGTTGTTGACCCGACGCTGAGACAAACTAAGCTCAGGGTCAGGTAGGTCTGACAGCACTGAGCCAGCGCTGAGAGGTGTGAGGGTTGTGTGTGTGTGAGATGCGTATGTGAAGTGTATGTGTGTGTGAGGTGTCTGTGTGTATGAGGTGTGTGTGTGAGGTGTGTGTGTGAGGTGTGTGTATGAGGTGTGTGTGTGTATGAGGTGTGTGTGTGTATGAGGTGTGTGTGTGTATGAGGTGTGTGTGTGTATGAGGTGTGTGTGCGTGTGTACGAGGTGTGTGTGCGTGTGTACGAGGTGTGTGTGTGTGTAGGGCAGGTTAGGGCGGGTAACGGTTGACACTGTGAGAAAGACAGTACATTGTATAGTTAACTCCAAGATGGGGTGTGACCCACAAACTATACAACCTACTACCTCACCCCACAGCACCCAGTGACACCCACAGCACAGCCGTGAAGTGAGCCAGCGGTTTATCTGTCGGCCAGGATACCGGGAGAGAGACAGAGAGAGAGAGACAGAAACTCCCTTCTCTCCCCCCCAACCCCCACCTAGGACAACGCCGCGAGGGGAGATCTTTAACATCCGCCTGAACAAAGCACGGGGTGGGGGGGATGAGTGAGGCTCAACACCTCTGCCAATGCATCTCTCCCCTTCTTTCTCCCCCTTCCTCTCTCTCTCTCTCTCTCTCCTCCCCCCAGCGCTGAGCTGGATCAATGGCTTAGACTATATGGATTCTGAGTTCTGTGTGCGTGTGTGTGTGTGTGTGTGTGGGGGGGGGGGGGGGGTTCGGTCTCTCGCCCACAACCTTCTGACTTGGGAGACGAGAGAGGGACGAGAGAGAGTGCGAGCGACCGAATGACACACAACAAAGTGCGGTGACGCAGAGAGGCTGTGAGGTGTAGTGACTGTTTGTATAGAGTGCCCAGCGCAGCAGAGAGGGTGAGAGAGAGAGAGAGAGAGAGAGGGGGAGAGAAGGTGCGAGGGAGAGAGAGAGAGAGAGAGAGAGAGAGACCAACCTGCTAGAGACTTGTCACCTTGAACGGTAGTGTTTGCTGCTCTGGTGGAACCTGTGGCCTATTACATCAACAACAATAATATAATAATAATAATAATCCTTGTATTTCACACAGTGACTTATCACCTCTTAAAAGCGTTTCACAGGATACACTGTAATAATCAATAACGATCAATAACAGTAATAATTAATAGCGATAACCAATAACAAACACAGGATACACTGTAAAGTGTGGTGACTGTGTGTTTTGTGGGAGAAACGCAGCAGCCAGCGACGTCCCCACAAACAGCCGCGGGTCGAGTGACCAAATTTATATATTTATTTGTGGTTTTTTTTTAAAAAAAGGGATTAAATTATTACCTCCAGAAAAGTGATCCCCCAATCGACGAGCAAACAGCTTCCTACTGACTGCTGGTAAACAGAGGTGTGTGTGTGTGTGTGTGTGTGTCAGTGTCTGTCTGTCTGTCTGTGTGTGTCAGTGTATGTGTGTGTCAGTGTTTGTGTGTCAGTGTCAGTCTGTGTGCGTCAGTGTTTGTGTGTCAGTGTCAGTCTGTGTGTGAGTCAGTGTGTGTGTGTGTGTGTGTGTGTGTGTGAGAGTCAGTCTGTGTGTGTCAGTGTTTGTGTGTCAGTGTCTGTATCAGTGTCAGTCTGTGTGTGAGTCAGTGTGTGTGTGTGGAGTAAGGAAACTTGCCTAAGGTTTCTCCCTGTCCCGCCTACGAATCGAACCTCGGTTCTCTCTCGCTTGCAAGGTGAGTGCGGTAACCACTGAGCTACAGGACTCAGTGAGTGAGCGAGCGAGCGAGCGAGTGAGAGAGCAAGGGAGAGAGTGAGTGAGTTAGAGAGCAAGTGAGTGAGCGAGTGAGTGAGTTAAAGAGCGAGTGAGTGAGCGAGCGAGCGAGTTAGAGAGTGAGTGAGTTAGAGCGCGAGCTCGTGCACTAATCACGTCACTACAGAACTCACCGTCGTGTTCTGCTCCTTGTTCTCCTTCTCCTCCTTGGCTTTCTCCGCTCTCTTGGCCTCCTCCTCCGCCAGCTGCTTGCGTTTCTTCTCTCTCCTCTCCTCCAGCTCTTCATCTCTCAGAGACTCCAGGTTCTGTATAATGGGCAGCTTCACCACTGAGCTCCCACACAGAGACACAGTCAGAGAGGTACACACACACACACACACACACACACACACTGAGCTCCCACACAGAGACACAGTCAGAGAGGTACACACACACACACACACTGAGCTCCCACACAGCGACACAGTCAGAGAGGTACACACACACACACTGAGCTCCCACACACGAGACACAGTCAAGAGAGGTACACACACACACACACACACAGAGACACAGTCAGAGGTACACACACAAACAGACAGAGTCAAACAGACAGACACACACACAGATAGACAGACAGACAGACAGACAGATATACACACACAGAGCTCCTGTATTTATACAACTCGTTTACAGCGACCATCACATGGGGCAGCATCTCGGAGGGAGTGAGAGAGAGAGAGGGAGCGAGGGAGAGAGGGGGGAATTGATTGCCCCCACATTCGACACTTACCCGCTACACAGTCGTGCATGCTCTCTGCATCCAGCACTTTGCATTCCTCAGTCCAGCGAGTCAGGGCAGTGGGTATACTGGACAATGTGCCTGTAATAATAATAATAATAATAATAATAATCACGGCATTTGACCCGGCACCTTATCACATCGTCGAGACTTCTCAAAGCGCTTCAAAGGGATACGCTGTAAAGTGTAGTGACTGTGCGTTTTGTGGGCGAAACGCGGCACCCAATTGCGCCCAGCGACGGGGGCTGTGGCTTGCGAGGCGAGGGGTCTAACCCCTGAGCTACAGGGGCTGTGGGGTGTGAGGCGAGGGGTCTAACCCCTGAGCTACAGGGGCTGTGGGGTGTGAGGCGAGGGTCTAACCCCTGAGCTACAGGGGCTGTGGGGTGGGAGGTGAGGGGTCTAACCCCTGAGCTACAGGGGCTGTGGGGTGGGAGGTGAGGGGTCTAACCCCTGAGCTACAGGGGCTGTGGGGTGTGAGGGGAGGGGTCTAACCCCTGAGCTACAGGGGCTGTGGGGTGCGAGGGAGGGGTCTAACCCCTGAGCTACAGGGGCTGTGGGGTGTGAGGGGAGGGGTCTAACCCTTGAGCTACAGGCCTCCAACCTACTGGTCAGTGTAACAGCCACTGCCTCTCCCTTGGCCTGGCTGCTGGTCAGTATAACAGTCTGTGTAATAGACACTCACCAGCCTGGCTGGTGGCCGCTGTCTGATCGTGGAAGAAATCGTCGAGGAGATCGTCGTCGGAGCGAGCGATGATGTGGACGTCGTCGTTTCCCACCAGCAGCCGAGCTCGTCCCCGGCTCTGCAGCGGGAGACTACTGCTGAGCTGTAGGATATCAGCAGCCGCAGAGGGGCCGAGTAACCTGGTATAGAGAGACACACAGAGAGTGTGAGACACAGAGTGTGTGAGAGACACAGAGAGTGTGAGAGGCACAGAGTGTGAGAGATACAGAGTGTGAGAGAGACACAGAGTGTGAGAGACACAGAGAGTGTGAGAGATACAGAGTGTGAGAGAGGCGTGTGTGTGTGAGCGAGCGAGTGCATAAGTCAGCGAGTGTGTGTCAGCGAGTGTGAGTGAGTGCGCGAGCGAGTGTGAGTGTGAACGAGTGAGCGGGTGTCAGTGTGAGCGAGCGGGTGTCAGTGTGAGCGGGTGCGTGTGTGCGAGCGAGCGTGAGCGCGAGCGGGTGTGAGCGTGAGCGAGCGGGTGTGAGGGTGAGCGAGAGCGCGCGTGTGTGTGAGCGAGTGCGAGCGAGTGTGAGCACTCACCTGCTCCACCACCTGCTTGAGGATGAGATCGCGATACTCTGGGCCGTTCCTCTTGACCGCCGTCATGATCAGGTCGCACACGCGGTACACGGTGTCCGGCAGCTCGTCCAACAGGTGGAAGCAGCCGGGGAGCATCTTCTCCGTGAAGCTGTGCAACTCGTCTCCCTCCAGCGGCTCCACGTCCTGGTACCTCTCCAGGCTCCTCACCTCCTCTTCCTCCTGCTTCTCCCTCGCCTTCCTCTCCTCCTCCTCCCGCCTCCGAGTCACCTCCTGCGTTTGGGGGTGGGGGGTGGGGGGGGGTTCAGAGAACGTCATCAACACCGGCAACTCACGCCGACACAGCGCCCCTCCTCGCGCACGGTAATAATGATAATAATCCTGGGGTGTGACCCGGCGCCTCATCACGTCGTCGAGACGTCTCAAAAGCGCTTCGCGGGACACGCTGTGAAGTGTAGTGACTGTGCGTTTTGTTGGCGAAACCCGGCAGCCGATTGCGCCCGGCGACATCCCCCACAAACAGCCGTGGGGTTGAGTGGCCGCATTATTATTATTATTATTATCTATTTTTATTTGGAGAGTGATTCGCGAGTCAACTTACTGCTGGTAACCAGAGGTACCTGTGAGTGTGCGTCTGTGTGTGCGTGTGTTGTGTGTGTGTTGCTGTGTGTGTGTCTGTGTGTGTTGCTGTGTCTGTGTGTGTATCTGTGTGCGTCTGTGTGTGCGTGTGTTGCTGTGTCTGTGTGTGTTGCTATGTGTGTGTGTGTGTGTTGCTGTGTATGTGTGTGTATGTCTGTGTGTGTGTCTGTGTCTATGTGTGTGTCTGTGTGCGTCTGTGTGTATGTTGCTGTGTCTGTGTGTGTGGAGCAAGGAAACTTGCCTAAGGTGTTGCCCTGTCCCGCTGAGAATCAAATCCAGGTCCTCTCGCTTGTTGGAGGGGGCTGTAAGGGGGTGGGTTGGAGGGGGTTAGTTGGAGGGGGCTGTTAGGGGGTGGGTTGGAGGGGGCTGTTAGGGGGTGGGTTGGAGGGGGTGGGTTGGAGGGGGCTGTTAGGGGGTGGGTTGGAGGGGGCTGTTAGGGGAAGCAATGAGATGGTGATGTTACCTCTGGCGATTCCTGGCTCTGGTCCATTGGAATCTCCTGCCCCAGTGACATGGCAATCGCTCTCATCATCTGGTCCTCCTCGGACATGCTCAGGTCCTGCAAGAGAGAGGGGGAACGAGGCACGTCAGGGACAGGACAGGGAGGGGGAGGGGATAGACAGGGGGCTTTCCCCAGGGCAGGGGTGAGGCGCACAGATGTTAAAGATCTCCCCCCGCAGCGCTGTCGGGAGAGGGTTAGTCCTATAGCATTCCGCCCACATCTCACCCCGTGGGGAGGGGGAGCGCTCCACCAAGGTTACCCTAAACACCCCCCCACCCCACACGGCCAGGGATATACAGTCTGACTTGCCCTGACACGGACGGCCCCTCCCAGCAGGGGAGGGGGGTGTGTGAGCAGGTACTCAGTGGCCTGCTCCATGCTGCTGGTGTTCAGCAAAGCCTCCATAGCGTGTTCTCGGGTGAACCCCATGTCCATCAGCTGCGGGGAGACAGAGACACAGAGAGTCAGAGAGAGACAGAGAGACAGAGAGTCAGAGAGAGAGAGACAGAGACAGAGAGCGTCAGAGAGAGAGACAGAGAGTTAGAGAGAGACAGAGACGGAGAGAGTCAGAGAGAGAGACTGAGACACAGAGAGAGAGAGAGTTAGAGACAGAGAGTTAGAGAGAGACAGAGATCATTCTTATCATTATTAAGCCGGTCGGACAATCAGCATCTCTGCCCCCACCCTCGGGAACTCTATCCCACATTACCTCCACCTCCGCCTCACCCCCTTCAGACTTTCCTCTTCGACCGCACTTTTGGCCACTCGCCCACCAACCACTCCTCTGCCCTCCACTCCCCCCTGACCCCAACTCCCAGCTCGGGTCCATGGCTGACGGTGCTGTAACTGTGGGACCTGAGCTAATGGCTGACGAAGATTACCTGCTGTAGCTGTTGCTGGTTGACCTGGGGCTCTCTCCTGGGGGCCGTGCCCTCCTCCTGAGGTCCCTCCTCCTCGGGTTTGGTTCCCTCCTTCTCCTTGCCCAGCCTCTCGCGGATGACAGGTTCCCCTCGCAGGATGTGGCACAGGATGGCCAGCATCGACTCCGCCATTCGCCCGCCGTACACCTTCAGCGGCTTGCGGTTCCACAGATTTTTGATGCAGTTGAAAGCAGCCTGTGATAGAGACACCACCACACCAGCCAGTTACACACACAGCGGGTGTGGGTGTGTGGGGTGGTGGGGGGGGTTATGTGTGTGTGGGTGTGTATGTGTATGTATGTGCGTCTGTGTGTGTGGGTGTGTATGTGTGTGTGCGGATGTGTGTGTGTGGGTGGATGTGTATGGGTGTGGATGGGTGTGTGTATGTGGGTGGGTGTGTGGGTGTGTATGTGTAAATGTATGTGGGTGTGTATGTGTGGATGTGTGTGTGTGGATGGGTATGTGTGGGTGTGGGTGTGTGTGTGTGTGGGTGGATGTGTGGATGGGTGTGTGCATGTGTGTGGGTGTGTATATGTGTGTGGGTGTGTATATGTATGTGTGTGTGGGTGGGTATATATGTGTGTGGATGTGTGTGTGTGGGTGGATGTGTATGGGTGTGTGTATGTGGGTGGGTGTGTGCGTGTGTATGTGTAAATGTATGTGGGTGTGGATGTGTGTGTGTGGATGGGTATGTGTGGGTGTGTGTGTGGGTGTGTGTGTGTGTGTGGGTGGATGTGGATGTGTGGATGGGTGTGTGCATGTGTGTGGGTGGGTGTGTGTGGGTGTGTATATGTGTGTGTGTGTGGGTGGGTATATATGTGTGTGGATGTGTGTGTGTGGGTGGGTGTGTATGTGTGTAATGTGTGTGTGTGTTTGTATGTATATGTGTGTGTGTGTGTCATGTCAGGAGGACGTCCCAAGACACTGGACAGTCAGGGATTTGGACCTGAGCCTCCTGAGCGGAGGGAGCGGACAGGTTGATGGGGGGAGGGGGTCGGCAGGTCAGAGGGGTAGGAGAGGGCAAGGCCTGGGGGGGGGGGGGGGCCTTGCCAGTGAGGATGAGGATTTAGAATTCGATCCCCTGGGGGATGGGGAGCCAGTGGGGTCGGGCGAAGGTGGGGGTGATGGGGTCACGGAGCCCGGTGAAGTAACTGTGGAATATATACCGATACATATACCACCCCCACCCCACCCCTCGCCCCCTGGGATAGCCACCTACCTTCTGGGTGACGACCAGGAAACGCAGCGGGCTGAACTGGGGGAAGGACTGTCCCCCGGGGGGCTTTGCGGGGAGGGAGTGAGGAGACTCCAGCACTGTGGTGGGGTTCACCATCTTCTCCACCAGCATCAGCCACGCGTCCAGGAACTCTCCCGTCCCGTCAGGCAACTCGCAGTGCTCCAGCCCCTCCGTGATACACACCTTCCCTCCCATCGACAGCGCCCAGTTAAACGTCCTACAGCACGAGGGAAACAGCGGACAGTCAGACACACCTACACGATGATTATCGGTGGGTCGCTCAAACCACGGCTGTCTGTGGGGACGGCGCTGGGCGCAATCGGCTGCCACGTTTCGCCCACCAAACACACAGTCACTACACTTTACAGTGCATCCTGTGAAGCGCTTTGAGACGTCTCAAATCAAATGGTGAGTGTGGTAACCTCCACACTACAGGACTGTGGAACCACCTGTTTGAGCTGTGACACCGTGTTGTATTGGTGTCACTTGTGGCACTGCAATCAGTGCTGTCGCTCAGGGGGAGTCCTGTAGCTCAGGGGTTAGAGCACTCGCTTTGCGAGTGAGAGACCTGAGTTCAATCCCCGGGGGGTCAGTCAGGGCCAAACCTCGGGCAAGTTTCCTTACTCCACACAGAGCCCTAATAATAATAATAATAATCCTCCAAAACAAAACAATAATAAATTGGTCATTTTCAACCCACGACTGTTTGTGGGACATTGCTGTGCGCAATCGGCCGCCGCGTTCGCCCACAAATATACAGTCAATTCACTTTACAGTGTGTCCTGTGAAGCGCTTTGGGACGTCCTCCCGACGTGAAAAGCGCTATATCAAATGCCAGGATTATTATTATTATTATTATTGTGTAAATCTATGTGTATTATCTGCTTCAATGGCCACTGATGGGAGTGAGTGCCGCACAGTGCTGCCCTCTGTCTGAAGAAGTTCCTTCTGAATTCCCATTTCAATCCTCAGTCACTGTCTTACACTCGTGTTTCTCCGTGAAGTCTCGGTCACAAATAGGAACCTCCTGTTATAGAGCTGTGACACCGTGTTGTATTGGTGTCACTTGTGGGACTGCAATCAGTGCTGTCGCTCAGGGGGAGTCCTGTAGCTCAGGGGTTAGAGCACTCGCTTTGCGAGTGAGAGACGTGAGATCATTTCCAGACAGAGGGCCAAACCTCGGGCAAGTTTCCTTACTCCACACAGAGCCCTAATAATAATAATAATAATCCTCCAAAACAAAAACAATAATAAATTGGTCATTTTCAACCCACGACTGTTTGTGGGACATTGCTGTGCGCAATTGGCCGCCGCGTTCGCCCACAAATATACAGTCAATTCACTTTACAGTGTGTACTGTGAAGCGCTTTGGGACGTCCTCCCGACGTGAAAAGCGCTATATCAAATGCAAGGATTATTATTATTATTATAGTGAGGCGAGTGTGGTAACCTCCACACTGCAGGACTCCACAAGTTCTGTATACTCACTCGAAGAGAGCGTCATGTCCCCCAGAGCACAGGAACTTCTGTAACATCAGGTGATAAGGGTATTTCCTCTCGTCAAACAGCATTGGGGAGGTGAACCCCACTGAGCAGATGAAGAAAGTTAATCTGTCGTCGAGAGAGAGAGAGAGAGAGAGAAAGAGGAAATAAATCCTTACACTTGGTAAAGCTCTCCACAGGATTGATTCTCTGTAAAGTGTAGAGACTGTGTGTTTTGGGGCGAAACCAAGCTGCCAATTGCTATATGTGTGTGAGTGTGTGTGGTGTGTGTGTGACGTACCTGAACCGTGGTGTGGGGGTGTGTGTGAGTGTGTGTGTGTGTGTGTGACGTACCTGAACCGTGGTGTGGGGTTGTGTGTGAGTGTGTGTGTGTGTGTGTGAGAGAGTGTGTGTGAGTGTGAGTGTGTGTGAGAGCGTGTGAAAGCGTGTGTGTGAGTGTCTGACGTACCTGAACTGTGGTGTGGGGGGGTGTCTGAGTGTGTGTGTGTGTGAGTGTGCGTGTGAGTGTGTGAGTGTGCATGTGCGAGCGTGTGTGTGAGTGTGAGACGTACCTGAACCTTGGTGTGGGGGTGTAGGGTGGAGGTTGCCAGGACAGCCCCTTGGTGAGCAGTTTGGTGAGCGCGGAGGCTGTGCCCCGGGCGGCCGGGGTGGGGGCGGTCGTGGTGCTCGCTGGGTGGTGGCTGCGACGCTGACGGACGGGGGAGCCCACGCACAGCTTCACCAGCAGCCCAAACAGCTCAGCCAGTGCCCGGCCCAGCCTGGAGGACGCTGCAGCCAGGGGGGGCAGGACAACAACACAGTCACTACACCCGCACTGCATCACACACACACACACAGTCACTACACCCGCACTGCCTCACACGCACACACACACAGTCACCGCACTGCCTCACACGCACACACACATACAGTCACGACACTCGGCACAGCATCGTGCACACAGACACACACACACACAGACACACACACACAGATACACACAGACACACACACACAGACACACCCACACACACACAGACACACACACACCCACAGACACACACACAGACAGACACACACACAGACACACACACACCCACAGACACACACACAGACAGACACACACACAGACACACACACACACACACAGACACACACACAGTCCCGTACCTGACAGGAGGGGTTTGATCTGTTTGATGCGAGCGGCCATGGCTGGGGTGATCTTGGATTTGGTTTTGGTGTCGGATGTGCTGGGCTCGTCCGTCTCCATCGGGGCCAGAGTGTCGGTGTCCAGGGTAATGCCCTCCAACAGCCCCTGCGCTGAGGGCTCCACAATGGCACTCGCTGGCTCCAGCTCACTGTCTGTGTACACACACACACACACACACTACAGCGTTAGTGCTCACTGTCTGTGTACACACAAACACACACTCCAGCGTTAGTGCTCACTGTCTGTACAACAGTGTTAGCGCTCACTGTCTATACACACACACACTAGTGTTAGTGCTCACTGTCTGTGTACACACACACACTGCAGCATTAGTGCTCACTGTCTGTGTACACACACACACACTGCAGCGTTAGTGCTCACTGTCTGTGTACACACAAACACACACTCCAGCGTTAGTGCTCACTGTCTGTACAATAGTGTTAGCGCTCACTGTCTGTACACACACACACTAGTGTTAGTGCTCACTGTCTGTGTACACACACACACTGCAGCATTAGTGCTCACTGTCTGTGTACACACACACACACTGCAGCGTTAGTGCTCACTGTCTGTACAACAGTGTTAGCGCTCACTGTCTGTACACACACATAGTGTTAGTGCTCACTGTCTGTGTACACACACACACTAGTGTTAGTGCTCACTGTCTGTGTACACACACACACTACAGTGTTAGTGCTCACTGTCTGTACACACACAGTGAGCGAGCGAGCGAGCGAGTTCACTAACCACTACACGGCAGGTAACAGGCAGAGCTCACCTGGTCTTTTGGTGTCTGTTATCGTGGCTGACGTGTTGTTGCTATTTGCTGGTTTGTCCTCCTTTGGCACAAGTTTCTGCATATCCAACTGTCCAAACTCACAGCCTGGGGGAAGGCTGGACACAACAGACCCACAGTGACTCCGGCTGTCTCCTCTACACAGACACACAGTGACCACCCCCACCTCACACACACAAACACATACAGCAACCCCCCCCCCCCCCCCCCCACACATACACCCACACAGAGCAGACACACACTGACCTGTTGGGTGTACAGTGTGACAGACAGCCACAGTGACAGACAGACAGACACAGTGACAGACAGACAGACAGACAGTGAGAGACAGACACAGTGACAGACAGCCACACAGTGACAGACAGACACAGTGACAGACAGACACAGTGACAGACAGCCACAGTGACAGACAGACAGACACAGTGACAGACAGACAGACAGACAGACAGTGACAGACAGCCACAGTGACAGACAGACAGACAGACACAGTGACAGACAGACAGACAGACAGACAGACAGTGACAGACAGCCACACAGTGCCAGACAGCCAGACAGACCTGTTGGGTGTACAGAGTGACAGCAGGACGGTGCTCTCCCACACGAGTGAGCAGTAGAGTTGGCTGAGCTTGTTCAGCACGGTCAGGCCGAGCTGTGAGCCCCACTGGTTCACAGAGATCGAGCGGATCTCACTCTGAGAAGGAAGAGGGTCGAAGGCCATACAACAACAGCAGCAACACCGGCTCGTGTTTACACAGCGCCCCTCACACAGGACACCGTTTCGAAGCTCGTAACAAGCGGGTCCCTAGTGACTACTGGCAAACCGGCGCGCATGTCTGTGTGTGTGTGTGTGTGTGTGTGTGCGCGCGTGTGTGTGGGTCCGTGTGCATGTGTCTGTGTGCATGTGCGTGTGTCTGTGTGCGTGTGCGGAGTAAGGAAACTTGCCTAAGGTTTCACCCTGTGTCGGGAATCAAACCCAGGTCCTCTCGCTTGCCAGGCGAGCGCTGCAACCGCTGAGCTACGGGGACCCCGGGAAGCACAGCCCCCGATGGTGGAGCGGAGGGGGCGAGCGAGGGGGGAAGAGTAGGTGAGAGGGACACACAGAGGGACAGGGCGGCGGAGGGGCGGTACTGACCTGACCCACGCGGCAGGTGTGGACGAACATCATGATGTAGGCGTGAGCTGCTGTCAGGGCGTGGAGCAGGGGGGTGGCCTGGGCAGACAGGGTGGCATCAGACACGTTGCCAGCGTTAGCCAGCTCCCTGAGCAGCACAGAGCCCCCCGGGGTGTCGATGGGCCGGTGAAGGGCTCCAGAGAGGACAGAATGGTGTCCAGCTGTAACAACCCCTCCTGTAGCACCTTCAGTTCGTGTGACAGGGTCTGCGAGAGAGAGAGGGGGGTAGTGAGGGAGAGAGAGAGAGAGAGAGACAGAGAGAAATCATCATTAATAATAATCCCGGCGTTTGAACCGGCGCCTTATCACGTTGTCGAGACGTCTCAAGGCGCTTCACAGGATACACTGTAAAGTGTAGTGACAGAGGCGTGTGTGTGTGTGCGCGCGACCGTGTGTGTGTCTGTCTGTGTGTCGAGGGCTGTCACCCCTGAGTTACGGTGTGCGGGCTGATCGATGGCAAATGGGAGTTTTAATAGGTAAATGGACGCACCAGGATAGATTTGCAGACACCAGCGACAGCCTGGCAGGCAGCGGAGGTGGGGAAATCGATGGGAAGGTTAGGCAGCCCCAGGATACACACGAGGGGCTGCAGCCCTTTCTGTGTCACAAACTCCTGGCAGTGATCATCTGTGGTGTTGTTACTCAAGATTGACTCGACGAACTTCATCTGCGGAGAGAGAAGGGGGAGGGAGGAGGGAGAGGGAGAGGGAGAGAGAAGGGGGGAGAGAGGAGAAAGAGGGGGGGAAGAGAGGAGAGGGGGGGAAGAGAAAGAGGGGGAGGGAGAGAGGAGAGAGGGAGAGAGAAGGGGAGAGAGAGAGGGTGAGAGAGAGGGAGAGAGCGTGAGGGAGAGAGAAGGGGAGGGGGGGAGAGGGGGGGGGTTGGGGGCACTGATTAATATAAATGATCGTTGTTCAACACGGCGCCTTTCACGTCAGGAGGTCGTTCCAAAGCGCTTCGCGGACACACCGCAAAGTGTAGTGACTGTGTGCTCTGCGGGCGAAACGCGGCAGACAATGTGCGCCCCACAAACAGCCGTGGAACGAGCGACTGATTTTATTTGGGAGATTGTCGGCCAGGACACGGGGAGAGAGAGTGAGAGAAAGGAACTCCCCCCCCACCCCCCCACCCTCTCTCTCTCCCCCACCCCCAGCGCAGTGTGGAGTGTCAGCTTAGACTGTAAGGTGAGAGCGACTGAGCCAGGCTGACGTACGGCTATTTACGAGGAGACTGGGATCCTGGGAGCATGTGGGGATGTGGGGAAGCACTCACCACGTTGAGGATGTAATCCATGAGAGGAATAGGGATCCTCTCCTCTGTGCCAACCACCCTGTAAACAAGGGGACACGTCACACAGGGACCAACTGCTGGGGAGAGACACCACTCACACACACGCACTGTCTCTCTCTCTCACACTCACACTGTCTCTCTCTCACACACACACACACACAGTCTCTCTCTCACACTCACACACACTCTCTCACTCTCTCTGACACACGCACTGCACTGTCTCTCTCACACTCGCACACACTGTCTCTCTCTCACACACGCACACACTGTCTCTCTCTCACACTCACACTCACGCACTGTTTCTCTCACACACTCTCTCTGTCCCTCTAACACACACACACACACACACACTGACTCTTTCACTCACACACAGACAGACACACACAGACAGACAGACACACACACACACACAGTGACAGACACTCACTGCTGTGGCTCTGTCTCTCCCTGCTGGGCGGCCAGGCTGCTGCTGAAGCTCTGCATGGCCTGAGCCTCCTCCTCCTCCTCGTCCTCGCTGGAGGCCTCCTCAGCCGCGTGGTTGGAGCGAGGAGGGGGGGCGCTGGCCGTGCCGTCAGCTTTCTGTATCGAGGGTTTCTGGCAGATATACTTGGGGTCTCTGCCCAGGTTACAGATCTCCTCCAGCAGCTGAGAGAGAGAGAGAGAGGGCAATAATAATAATAATTATAATAAGTTATAATAATAATCCCGGCGTTTGACCCAGAACCTGAACACGTCTTCCAGACGCCTCAAAGCGCTTCACGGGACACGCTGCAAGGTGTAGTGACTGTGGGCGGAAGCACGGCAGCCGATTCGCGCCCAGCAACGTCCCCACAAACGGCTGCGAAGCGAGAGCGCGATTTTATCTGTCGGCTAAACAGATAAGAAAGAGAGAGAAACTCCCCAGCACTCCCTTCTCCCCTCCCCAGCACTCTCCCTCTCTCTTCTCCCAGCGCTCTCTCTCTTCTCCCAGCACTCTCCCTCTCTTTCTCTCTTCTCCCAGCGCTCTCCCTACCTCTCTCTCTCTCTCTCTCTCTCCCAGCGCTCTCCCTACCTCTTTCTCTCTTTTCCTAGCACTCTCTGTCTCTCCCTCTGTCTCTCTCTCCCTCAGCGCTGTGCTGAACTGTCAGCTTAGTCTGTGAGCTCATATCCCTGACGTGTATAAGGGCTCGAACCCACAACCTCCTGACTTGGGAGGCGAGAGAGAGAGAGAGAGAGAGAGAGACGGGCTGACCTTGATGATGGCTGTGGTGGCGTCTGTCTTCAGTGTCGGTTGGTGTCTCATCAGCTCATCCACAGCACTGCCCAGGTTAGAGGCCGTGTCGCCTGAGCAAACAACAACAACAGCAGCAACAATATAACGACGTGTGTAAAGCGCCTTTCACGTCAGGAGCGCTGGACAGTCGGTGTTTCAGACCCGAGCCGGGGGGAGGGATGAGGGGAGGGCCCCGGGGGGGGGGGAAGGAGGGAGATCAATGGCATGGCCGAACAGGAGGAGAGAGAGGGGGGCGAGACGGAGGGACTGCGGGGTGAAGGGGACAGAGAGAGCGAGAGACTCACCGAGCGGGTCTGAGCTCCTGCGCCTCCTCATGGCGGGCAGATAGTCCGGGGACAACAGCACCTTGAAGAGCCTCTCGAAGGGCTGACACTGCACAAAGGACTGGAGTCCGCGAGCGTTCAGACACAGTGCGCTGAACACGTTGGGTAACGAGCCCAGCACCTCTCTGGTGGCCGGGACCTGCCAGGAAGCACACAACAACAATCACAATAATAATAATAATCATAATCGTAATCCCTACGTCTGACACAGCAATCGGCTGCCGCGTTTCTGCCACGAAACACGCAGTCACTACACTTTGCGGTGTGTCCCGTGAAGCGCTTTGAGACGTCTCGACGCCGTGATAAGCCGCCGGGTCAAATGCGAGGTTTATTATTATTATTATTATTATTATTATACAGCCCCTTATCACGTCTTTGAGACGTCTCAAAGCGCTTCACAGGATACACCATAAAGTGTAGTGACTGCGTATTTTGTGGCAGAAACGCGGCAGCCGATTGCGCCCACACACAATCAAGCATTGAGTAACCACATATTTTTAAGCAATTCTTACCCCCGTAAAAGCCATCTGCGACACAGCGACACACACACAACGACTGAGCCAGGCTGACACACACACACACAGCGACTGAGCCAGGCTGACTGACACACACACACACACACACAGCGACTGAGCCAGGCTCACACACACACACACAGGACTGAGCCAGGCTGATTCCCTGTCTATGCGGCTTCATTCCCCAAGAAAAAGGCGGGCGAGAAGAAGCTTACGTCTTTTATTAACAGTGCGTGGAGCATGACATCAGTGAGTCCGTTGTCCTGCAGAGAGGAGAGCAGCGAAGGTTCTTGGAATACAAACACAGTCACAACCTCAGTCGCTGGAGAGAGAAAGAGAGAGAGAGTTTTTAATCAACAACAGCAACAACAATTCGACATTTACATTGACACCAGCGCCAGCCGTTCACGTCGGGAGGACGTCCCCAGGCGCTGGACTGAACAGTCCGGGGTTTGGACCCGAGCCGGGGGTTGGGATCAGGAGGGGGTGGAGGGAGGGGAGTGTGGGGGGGTTGTGGGAGGAGGGTGACCGAAGGCGCGGTTGGTCGCAGAGGGTCTTGAGACTGGCTTTGAGTAGGGGAGGGAGGGAGGGAGGGAGGGAGGGAGGGAGGGAGGGAGTGAGTGAGTGAGTGAGGGAGGGAGGGAGGGAGGGAGGGAGGGAGGGAATGTGATTTGGAATTCCAGAAGGTGGGGGCAGAGAGGCTGATGGTGTAGCGGGCCAGGGCAGGGCAGGGCAGGGCAGGGCAGGGCTGGGGCTGGACAGGGCAGGGTAGGGCTGGGCTGGGCAGGGTAGGGCTGGGCTGGGCTGGGCTGGGCAGGGCTGGGCAGGGCAGGGCTCGGCTGGGCTGGGCTGGGCTGGGCTGGGCAGGGCTGGGCTGGACAGGGCTGGGCAGGGCAGGGCTCGCTGGCTGGGCTGGGCTGGGCTGGGAGGGCAGGGCTGGGCTGGACAGGGAAGGGCAGGGCTGGGCAGGGCAGGGCTGGGCAGGGCAGGGCAGGGCAGGGCTGGGCTGGGCTGGACAGGGCAGGGCAGGGCAGGGCAGGGCAGGGCAGGGCTGGGCTGGGCAGGGCAGGGCTGGGCAGGGCAGGGCAGGGCTGGGCAGGGCAGGGCAGGGCAGGGCAGGGCTGGGCAGGGCTGGGCAGGGCAGGGCAGGGCTGGGCAGGGCAGGGCAGGGGATGTAGAGCAGGCTGAAGGGAGAGAACAGGACAGAGTGGGACGGGAAGGCACTCACCGAGCAGGAAGAGTGAGGGACCATAATACTCTGCGTTGCTGATGATGTGCTTCAGTGAGGTAGGCAACGAGCCGTCCATTACTGCAGGAGACAGAGAGAGTGAAACCCACAGCTTCACAACATGTCACACCCGCCCCCCTTCTCTCTCTCTCGCTTCCTCCCTCACCTCCCTCCACAACACACGTCCAACCCTCTCCCCTCCTCTCCCCCACCCCCCAAACATTGTCATTGTGTAGTGACTGTGTTTTTTGTGGTCGCGACAGCCAATTCTACGCACAGCGACATCCCCTCAAACTGCCATGAAGCAGAAACACACACAGCCACATACAGACACACACACAGACATACACACACAGACACAGCCACATACAGACACAGCCACATACACACACTCACAGCCACACACACACACACAGACATACACACACTCACAGCCACACACACACACACACACAGACACACATGCACGCACATGCACACACAGTCGCACACACAGCCTTACCGTGTCGGATGCTGTCGGAGAACGCGGGATCTTGAATGGCTTTCTTCAGGAAGTTGAGCATGGACTTGAGCAGAGCTGCTCGCTGAGGGATACACTGAACTCCTGCAGGGAGCAACAACATCACTGACATTGACACAGAGCCTCTCATGTCAGGACGTCCCAAGGCCTGGGGGCTGGACAGCCAGGGGTTTGAACCCGAGCTGGGGGTCGGGGTCAGAACCGGGTGTGGCGGGGGGGGGGGGGGGGTGCGGAGGGAGGGCAGGGAGGGTGAGGGGTAGGAGGGTGACCGAAGGCACGGTTGGTCGAATAGTAAGGTCTTGAGATAGATGGCCTTGAAGGAGCCGAGGAAAAGGGACGCGCGAGGGGTGGGGGGGGGGAGAGAGTGAGAGAGAGAGCGCGAGTGCAAGAGAGAGCGAGAGAGAGAGAGAAAGAGAGAGAGAGAGAGAGCCAGGCTGACACACTCTGCAGCGATTGACTTACCTGGTCTCGGGGAGTAGGTCACAGCTGAGCTCAAACTCCGGGTCTCGGTCTCTGGCCTGGAATCGGCTGAGGTGGAGGGGCCTGGACTGCTCTCCATCACAATGTCTGCGCCGACAACATGTCACACGTCAGGCGGACGTCCCACTCTTAACATCAACCACCTCCCTTTACACTCCACACACACACTCCTTTCACCACAATAACCCTGGCATTTGACCCGGCGCCCGATCACGTCTTCGAGACGTCTCAAAGCGCTTCACAGGACGCGCCGCGAAGTGCAGTGATTGTGTGTATTGTGGGTGAAACGCGGCAGCCAATTGCGCACTGCAGTGTCCCCCCCACACACAGTCGTGGAGTAAGTGGCCACGCTATATTTACGGGATTAAAGCGATCCTCTTAAGTGGGATCAATAGACTAAGCGGGTTCCCACTTACTGATCGGTAAACAGAGGCGTGTGTGCGTGTGTGTCTGTGTGCGCATGGTGTGCGTGTGTGTCTGTGCGTGCGTGGTGTGTGTGTGTCTGTGCGTGCATGGTGTGTGTGTGTATGCGTCTGTGTGTGCGTGGTGTGTGTGTGTCTGTGTGTGCGTGTGCGTCTGTGTGTGCGTGTCTTGTGTGCGCGTGTGTGCCTGTGTGTGTGTGTGGTGTGTGTGTGCCTGTCTGTGGCGTGTGTGTGTCTATGTAGAGTAAGGAAACGTGCCTAAGGTTTCGCCCTGTCCCTCCCGGGAATCGAACCTGGGTCCTCCCGCTTGCGAGGCGAGGGGTCTAACCACTGCAGAACTCGGGAGGCAGAGAGGTAGGGACGAAACACAGACAGACACACAGACAAGAGAGCGGCACACAAACAAAACCCGCGCGCACACCGGATGGGCTGAAGTTCCCACCTGAATAATTGCCCTCGGAATCGGTCTCCATCTCCTCTCCCTCTTGATTGGTGCTGGATCTCTGAATCTTTGGTTTGATGACAAACGGACACTCTTTCCTGCAGATGTCCACTTCGTGCTGTCGGGAAAAGGAACAACAACAACAACAATAATAACCCCCGGGCGTGTGACCCGGCGCCCGATCGCGCCGTCGAGACGTCTCAAAAGCGCTTCGCAGGGCGCGCTGTAAAGTGGAGTGACTGTGTATTTTGCGGGCGAAACGCGGCGGCCGATCGTGCCCAGCGACGGCCCCACAAACAGCCGGGGGTTGTGTGACCGGATTATTCTTTTATTTTTTTGAAGGGATTATTATGATCGAATTCAAGATCCTCATCCTCACCTTCAGGGCCATTCACGGCCTCGCTCCCTCCTACCTCTCCGACCTACTATCCCCCTACCTACCTGCCCGTACCCTCCGTTCCTCTGGCTCCGGTCTGCTCCACGTCCCCCGCCCCAACCGCCCTACATCGGTAGCCTTCAGCCTCTCAGCCCCGAGGCTCTGGGACTCCATCCCCAGTGCCTTCGCCGCTTCCTCCCTCTCCTCCTTCAAGGCCGGTCTCAAGACCTCTCTCTTTGACCGTGCCTTCAGCTCCCCTCTCGACTCTCTTCCCCCTCCTCGCTCCCTCCCTTCCCTCCCCTCACCCTGACCATTTCCACCCTCCTCGCTCCCTCCCTCCCCTCCCCTCACCCTGACCATTTCCCCCCAATGCTCGGGTCCCCACCCAACTGTCCAGCGCCTTGGGACGTCCTCCCGACGTGAAAGGCGCTCTATAAATCCAATCTTGTTGTTGATGTATTATCCCTGGAAAAGTCATCCGCCAATCGACTAACAAGCGGGGTCTGCGCGTGTGCGTGCGTGTGTGTGTCTGTGTGTGCCTTACCACTGCACTACAGGACTGCACGTACCTCTAGACGGTTGATGAACACAGCCAGCCCACTGTGAGACTGGAAAGCCACCATTTCCAAGTTGGTGATCAGGTCAACCACACGCACAGCCCGAGTCACAAAGGTTATCTGGTCCTGTTCGTCCCCAAGGTACTTAATCACCTGCGAGGAAGGAGACACGAGCAGGGGGATGGTCAGACATGTTCAGTTCCCCCCTCTCTCCCTCCCTCCCTCCCTCCCTCTCTCTCTCTCCCCCCCTCAGTAATAATAATAATCCTTGCATTTGATATATCACGTCTTCGAGACGTCTCAAAGCCCTTCACGGCATACACTGTAAAGTGAAGTGACTGTGTATTTTGTGGGCGAAATGTAGCAGCCGAGCGACGTCCCCACAAACAGTCGTGGTTTGAGTGACCAGATTATTATTATTTTGAAGGGATTATTACCCCCGGAAAGCGATTTACCCACTGATTAACAAGCAGGTTCCTAGTGGTGAACAGAGATGTGTGTGTGTGTGTGTGTGTCAGACACCCGGTTGATCAAAAGACAACCCCATCTCTCGCTCTCTATGCACAGCCCCACCCAAAGCCCCTCCACCTCTCACAGAAACACTCCATGAGCCTCACAGACCTTCAGCAAAGCTTCCATCATCCCACAGGAGACGAGGGCTTCCCCTCCAGCGTCGTAGCTCGCCAGGTGGTAGAGGAAGGAGAAAAGTGCGGTTGCAAACTGATGGGGATAAGGCTCCATCGTGGGATCTAACAGGAGGAAAAGAGAGATGGTGATAAGGCGCGGTGTCAAATGCAAGGACAAAGCGCTTCACAGGATACACTGCAAAGTGTAGTGACTGTGTGTTTTGTGGGTGAAAAGCAGCATGTGTGTGTGTGTGTCTGTGTGTGTGGAGTAAGAAAACTTGCCTAGGTTTCGCCCTGTCTCGCCCGGCTGGGAATCGAACCCGGGTCCTCTGGCATGCAAGGCAGGGGGTCTAACCCCTGAGCTACAGGGGCTGTGGGGTGTGAGGCGAGGGGTCTAACCCCTGAGCTACAGGGGCTGTGGGGTGCGAGGCGAGGGGTCTAACCCCTGAGCTACGGGGGCTGTGGCTTGTGAGGTGAGGGGTCTAACCCCTGAGCTACAGGGCGGGGAGCAGCTTGAACTCACCGATCATGGCCTGGATGCAGTTGCGGACGAGCACAGGCAGGAATCCGTGATAAGACGCTGTCCCTGTGCAGTCGATGATGCTGCTCAGTTTAGGAGTTCGCTCCAGGTGCACTATAGAGGTCAGTGTCCGCAGGGAGGCTGCTTTTATATCCTGTATACACACACACGCACAATAACCTGTACCATTGTAACACCACACACACAAATACACACTATACACACACACACCACACACACAATAAACTATACCTTTGTAACACCACACACACGCACATATACACACACACCACACACAATAAACTATACCATTGTAACTGCACACACACTCTATACACACACACACCACACACACAATAAACTACACCATTGTAACTGCACACACACAAATACACACTATACACACACACACTATACACACACACATATACACACACACACACACAATAAACTATACCATTGTAACTGCACACACACTCTATACACACACACCACACACAATAAACTACACCATTGTAACTGCACACACACAAATACACACTATACACACACACACTATACACACACACATATACACACACACACACACAATAAACTATACCATTGTAACTACATAACACACACACATACACAATAAAATATACCATTGTAATCCAACAACACACACAACACAATAATGCACAATATAAAATATATCATTGTAACTCAACAACAAACACACATACACACACCACATAAGACACACATCACACACACACTAAAATATATAATTGTAACTCAACAACACACACATGCAACACACACAGCCAACATACACATAACATAACATACACACACACGCACTCAAATAACACACACAATAAAATACATCACTGAAACTCAACAAACATAACACACATACAACACACAACAACAATTTGCGCTTATGTAGCGCCCTCCATGCAGGGTAGCGTCTCAGAGCGCTTTACACACACAACGCACAGAGCACACACACACACACCCACACAGACACACACACACACACCCACAGACACACACGTGGAAAGGACCTGCTCACCATTAGCTGTTTGTCTGGAATCTGTAGAACATCCACCAGCTCCTCGATCAGCCCGTTGTACAGTATACTATTGGCAGATTCCTGGAGGGCGTTGGAATAAACTGCGCGACACACAAAGAGAGACCGGGCGAGCGCGAGTGAGTTTACAACGACACGTGACACTTACACAGAGCCCCGAGGCGCTGGGCTGGACACTCAGGGATTTGAGCTGGGGGTTGGGATCGGGAGGGGGTGGAGGGCAGGGAGGGT